AAGGCACTTGAACTCTGACTACTACATGGAAAAGCAGGTCTTCTCCAGCTGCCATATAGATACCAAGGTTGAGTGTGAGACCTTTCTGCAGTGTAACAACAGCACTCACACCTTGTACGTGGGCTGTCTACCCAGACCATGCTCTTGCCTCCCCACAAGCTGGATTTCTTCTTCTCCCTGGCAGGCAGAACCTGGCTCACTCTTGCCTCCCATAGGATAGGTATTACTGCAGTCACACAAGTTGGAGAAAGGAAGCCTCTTCTCCTTGGGGTGAGCCCATCTCCCACGCTACTGTAGTTGTGAGGAAAGCTGGACATGTCACCACCACACAGGCATCAGCTTGAGAGTGACAAGTTTTTAGGCTATGTCAGGCTCTCCAGTATCTTAACTAAGTCCAATGGGATTGCAGCGTGGAGGGGAAGCAGAAAGACCAGGAAGAGGAAAACAGAAGGCAGCACCTTTACTGCAGATTTAAAATAAACACTGTAATTATGTTGCTTCATTTCTATGAATTCTCCCTCTGTCTCCAAGTGATTGGCACTGAAGGAGTTCATTTCATGGTGTCCACTTCATTCCCCTGTGCTACATGTGGCAACCCCTTGTCTGACCCCCTTCTCCATTGCAAACGGTCTAGTATCATCGTAACCAATGGTGTTCCAAGGCCATGACAACAGCTGGGAACCTGGAGGGCTGATTCTCCAACAGGCTTCAGAGGAAAAGCTGTGGGAGATCTGGAGCTTTTCACCTGCTGCCTGCTCCTCATGCCTCAGAGGTAAGCTGTGTTAAGCCAGAGCAGCTTGCACAGCACTTGGCTCAGGTATATGACTAGAGAGGCATGAGGCAAACCTTGACTGGCTTGCCCCAGGCAAGCTGCACACAGATGTGAGTCACAACCACCCTTGGGTGTGACACTGGTAGGCAGCCCTTCTCCCAACCCCAGAGACTCAGCTGCCAGCAGCCTCTGCCTGCGGACACAAATGCATTTGGAGGTAGAGGAACCTTCTTCCTGGGCTGGTTAAGATTAGTTTTATGACCTGAACACAGTTTCCTGGGGCTTCAGGGAATTCTTGAGGAAACTGGAGCCTCAGTTGCAACTGTTATCCAAAAGATCCACATAAGAAGGAAGCCAGGTCCTGGAATTTCAGTCTTGGTGTTCCTCAGAATATCCTGAGAACCTTACAATTTCACTGTGACCCATCTAGATCTAAGGTATTCAATATCACAGACTTTGCCCTGTGCTCCAAGCAGCTTTGGAAAGGTGTCTGTTGCTCTCACTGTACAAAAAAGTTATACATCCCTCCTGAAGCACACACTTCTTCCTCTTTCGGACGTACCGATCACAACCCAAACTGCAATTTCTTCCCTCTCCTCTCCCTTCTCAGCCCCAGAACACTCCTGAACCCCTGGAACATGGGGGTCCAGCTGAGCCTGTCAGAACCCAGGAGCAATGGCAGCCCTGCCTTCCCCTGTCCCTCCACAAACTGCAGACAGATCTGTTATTTCCATGTTGTTGGAGCTTTCTTGACCTCTCCTCCCTTCCTCTACTCACAGTGGCTCTACAAGACCTGTAGCACAACTGTGGGAGATGAAAAGGAAGCTGCTTTCTGCAGAGGCTGGCTTCTGCCCTTGTATTTTAGGTGATAACCTCATGAAGGCTTTGAAAGGAAGCCCTTGTGGCAGCAGTTCCTGGATTCAAGTGGGATTTGGGCTGTGTTGTGCACCCGTCACATACACTGGGCTGGTTGATCTTTTGAAGCCTCCATACCCAAGTTCTATAGATCTAAACAGGATTTCAGTGGTCTTACAGATTAATTCCCTCTTCTTAGCCTAGTTCTAATCCTCCAGACAAAAAAGCCAATGGATAAGAATTGATTCGACACAGTGCCCTGCAGAAGCTGGTGGCAGTTTGATTGCCTCATGTTTTGTGCTAGTTGTCAAGCACTGTGACAAAGGGACATCCAAAAACACCCCCGTGAGCATCATTTGCTTCTACGCCCTGCTCTTGGAGGTTTCACAGCATGGTGGTGGGGCTTACAGGGGTTTCACATCACCCCTTGCTACCTCCCTTTGCCTCAGTGTCCCTGTGCAGGGTGTTGCATTCTCATCCCCTGGTGCATGGAGGCAGAGACAAAGGATGCATTTGTTTTATTACTCATGGGCTCCACACGCCTTGGCTGAAGGGCTCTGCACCACTCAAGCGTAACTGAACAAACTCAGCCATCCAACGGCAGAAACCCGGTCCTTGCCTGTACACCGCTCCAGCGCCTGGGCACCACACCTCCTGTCCCTCGCGCTCACCCAGCCCTGGATGGAGATCATGTCTCTACAGGCAGGAGTGAGATGCCTGGGTTAAGCCTGGGGTGCTGATAGGGGAAAGTCATTAAGGTGGAACCACTGCTGGAGGTGCTGTTCCAGTGCCATGGGAAGCCTCTGTGAGACACAGACCAACCCACACCCAGACCTGCTGGGGGCTCTGATGCATCAAGCAATAAATATACTTGCTTATTTTTTTAAATTAGTTTTAGTGAAAACTTAGAACCTAAGAGCCTCAAAAATAAGGTATGTTCCAAGTGCTTGGGACATCTTCAGAGTTACACGGTTTTTAGGCGGATGCAATTCAATATGTTAATGGTGATTCGCTTGGACTCCACTGTAAGAAGCCAAATGCTTTGCAAATGTCAACTCATCATTTGTTTACTTATTTGAAAGCAAACATCTCCAGTGCACACAAACCCATCCACTCCTCCTACCCTACCAGACTTCCCAATGCTCTACCTGTCCCAAAATGCAGCCACCTCTGAGAGAGATCTGCTTGTGTGCTATGAGCCAGCTACACTCAGAAAAAAAAGAGCCAGACAGTGCTACATATTGTGCTACCAGGGGAGAAAAATAAAGCAAAAACAAAGCGCAGCATCAAGCAGGGGTCAGAGACTAATTAAGTTTCCTTTTGAGAGAGATTGCTATGAAATGAAGCCTGTGCGAAGAGTGGAGTGACTGGTAAATCATCATCAAGCATAATTACCTCAGAAATAGAGCTGGGAGGTAAGTTTTTCCTTTCTCCCTTATTAGTTCAGCACAGCCAAAACAAGAGTTATTTTTTTCCCTTTCCTATTTTCACAAGTGAGGGGGAATTACAGGATTCTTCTTCCTCTGCAACAGTTTTTTCTTTTTTTACGCTCAGATTTACAACAGATTTAATTTTTCCACTCCCTCCCCGCCCAGTCTTTAGGAGAAAAAATATGAAACAAATTGAAAGAGCCACAGAGAAGACACAGCCTGAGGTAAGAAAAATGAAATACGTAATAAATTTCTGTGGTTAACCTTATCCAGGTACCAGACTCACTAAGTACAGCCCAGGAGCTAAAATAAAAAAACCCCAAACATTAAACATAAGAGTTTCCTTTTCTCATAACACTATTACTCACATGCCCCAGTAAGAGGAAGATGATGACCAAAGCAAGGCACTCACCCTTCTCTTCTCGTGATGCTTCCCAGCAGAAATCTCAACCCACCTGCAAAGCTGAAAAAGTCCCTTTCTCCTACTCTGCTGGGCTTTAAAGAGCCCAGGTTGCTTGAGGAACGTGTTGTGTGATTGGTAGGGTGCCCATCACATGAGGAAAATCTTTTTTCTAGCCAAACCTGTTCCCC